ATGCCAGGAGTGCAACACTAAGTTGGTGATATTTAATAGTTGAGTATTGCTTTGCCATGGATTATTTATGTATCTGCTTTATGCTTTTGCTGTTTATTTTGGGGAATTGCATCTTTAAAAATGTGTTTCTGTTATTCCAGCTTCGGTCCTCTGGTCTGAACCGTGTGCTTATCTGTAATATTCTGACTGTTGGTGTTTCTGTGTTGCAGGTTGCCCATGTGGGTGGCCAAGGGGATGGTGGCCACGAGGGCTGTGTGCCTGGCTTCCAGGTCAAAAAGTACCAGGTGATGTACAGAGGTCCTTTCCAAAAAGGACAACGCCTTCTTCAAGGTCAGTAAATTGGTTAAAATCTCTAAATCCACACCACAATTCAACATCCAGTTGTACCAAAACATATCCTTTCCTTCATCTGTCTGGGTTTTGAGGATTTGAACCAGGTCAAGGTGGAGTTATGTGTGTGCATGTTCATTAAAATAGATTTGATTATAAACACGAGGTAAAACGCGTTGCTTCTTTGCACCACAGTGACAACAAACATCATTTTTGTCTGCAAATGAATTATTCTCCTTGATTGAATGATATTTACAAAAGCATTTCCCCTCTTTGTTCCTCCCCCGAAGACAGCTTTGAGCTGCTTAGTTAACTGTGTGTGCTGTGTGCTCATATGCGAGCGTGTTTGCTGGAGCTTTTGAGTCCCAGTTCAACGGTTACATGCTCGAGTTGACTTAGCTTTCTGCAAAGCTCCGGTCCCTAACACGCTCTGACTCGCATTTTCCTCTGTATGCAGAAAATTGTGTTTGATCTCAGCAGGTTTAAATTTAAAACCTTTAAGATTTAAGAGTTCGAAGAGTTCACAGCTGACGAGTCCATGTCACGGAGGCTTAGTTCTGTCTCTGAGCTACTTGTGAGGCAGTCTTCTCGCTTCTGAGTTAATGCAGTGACCAGTTAGTTTCCCCACAGCCTCCTGCACACGTCCAATCTCAACTCGATATTGCAACCACAACTTATGCTCCTTTGGGGCCCATCTAGACAACTTCACTTGGTCTCTACAGAGATCAGCAATAAGGTCTGCAGGCTAGCAGTCTGCTCCTTTGGGGTTGTGAGTTATGGCGTCTTTCCACAGAAATCGACAAGGTGAAGTCAGCTAGCAGCAGTTTTATTGCAAAGCTGAGTTTCCACCAATTTATTTGCTTAATAATTCATTTTTCCTCTCGTTCGTTATTTTATTTGTACAACGTGATGAAATACAAATGAAATATGTAAATTGAAATGGGAATAATTTATGGCGTCTTCTTCATTCTGTCATTTATTGTGGAACTTGTTTTCATTCCCCTCTCATTATTCGACCTCTTCTTTATTTACTTAATCATCCCTACGATTCTTCTCCGTGTCGAGAAGCTACACCTGCAGAATGTAATCACCTGCCTCTCTGACATGCGCATATTGTGTTGCATCGACATACACAGCAGTAACTTCTTTTGAGCTCACAGAGCTTTTAGTGCTTGTCGAGTTGCTTTGTGTGCCATTCACCTGATGGACAGCTTTTCCAATTGAAAATACATACTTTCCTGCCTATACAGCAAAATATGACAAATCTAAGAATTTCTCCTTCAATCTTCTTTCTTCTTTTTCAGCTTTATTGTATTTGATTTGGTCAGCCAGCGAGGCACTTTGTCATCTGGAGGTTCAGCGGTGCGTGTAGTAGGAGACAGAGCGCAGTTCTGCTTTAGCGCTCTGCTCTGGGACAACACAGCGGTTCCATTACCTTGAATATGCTCCTGTCAGCAGAAACACCTCTCGCCATTGAGGGGTGGGGGGTCCCACTGCTCACAGAAGTATAGGCATGCTACTGGCCACACACGTACATGCATATAAAAGTGTGGGTTCAGGCTTGTTGTGCATTTGTTACAAAGAAAACCTGAGATGCATGCTGTGATTGCCTGTTTGCTCATAGCTGCTCAACAGAAATCTACTCTAAATACTTGTTTGATCATTTCAAATGTTTCTTAAAGATTTAATCGCTTTTACAAACGCTGCACTTCAATAGCTGCTGAAGCTGAATAAAAGACCAGACGAATATGTGAAATATAGAAAGCTAGAAAAAGAAACAGATA